TCCATTTCATCCCCCCAGTCCTCCTTTTCCACCGCTCTTCTATATATAGAGCCTCAACCGTAGCCGCTTTCCCCTGCTTCTAAATTTCGCCTCCAATTTCCGTTCGGCATCCGATCTTCGAGATGGCTGTGAACGGCGGTCGATGGATCCTGGGTCCGCCCTTAGGCCACGGCGCCACCGCTACCGTCTCTCTCGCAGTCGACGCCATCTCCGGCGATCTGTTCGCCGTCAAATCCTCGCACATATCCCGAGCTGCTCTGCTGCAAAAAGAGCAGAGCATACTATCCTCCATCTCCTCCCCTCACATCATCTCATGCCTCGGCTCCTCCGTTTCCCGCGATTCTTGCAACCTTTTTCTCGAGTTCGCTGCCGGCGGAGCTCTGTCCGACATCGCTGGATATCTCTCAGAGCCCAAAATTCGTTCTTTTACACGTCAAATTCTTCTCGCGCTGTGCTATCTTCATTCCAACGGCATTGTCCACGGCGACGTTAAGGGACGGAATGTTCTTGTCGGTTCGGAGGGGAAGATAAAGCTTGGGGACTTTGGTTGCGCTCACCGTGTTGGGGAGGGATTGGTGATGGGAACGCCGGCGTTCATGGCGCCGGAGGTGGCGCGTGGGGAGGAGCAGGGGATTGCCAGCGATGTGTGGTCGCTGGGGTGTACGGTGGTGGAGATGGCAACCGGGAAGTCACCGTGGCCGGATGTTAATGATGCGGTTGCCGCAATTCATCGTATTGGATTTACCGGCGATGTTCCGGCGATGCCGGAGTGCGTTTTGGAAGAAGCAAAAGACTTCGTTTTGAAATGTTTCCAGCGAGATCCCAAGGAGAGGTGGACGGCTGAGCAGTTATTAAGCCATCCATTTGTTGCGGAAATAGAGGAAGAAGAAAACTACTCTGTTCTGCCCTGTTTCAGTTCGAAGCTGGAGAAATGGGTCTCCCCGAAGACAACGCTGGATTTCGCTTTATGGGAAATGGGAACAGAGGAGGATGGGGAAGACGAAATTTTGAACTTGAAGGATGAATCTGAAATGGGAATCCGGCAGCTGGATTCGCCGCCGGCGAACTGGACATGGGATGATGATTGGATCGAAGTCAGAGGAAGCATCGATGAAAAAGAGGCGGCGATGTCGCCGGAAGCCGAGTGTGGTGGCTTGATCTCTGGCGCTGGATGCGAGTGCAGTGGAAGAGATTCTGATTTCGATTGCGATGGGGACGAACAGGAAGATTTCTGCAGCTATTCTTTGAATGATAAAGTAGAAAAATTGGGCTCCGCTTTTTCTGTGAATCAGTTTGAAGGAGGGGACGTAGCAGAGCATTTGGTCAGCAGTTGTACCGTTCGCAATGGGGATTGCAATAAAGATTTTAGAATTTCGTAATTTATTTTGTTTGATTGGAATGTTTTAGCTTGACTTTTTTTTTTTTTTTTTTAATTTGCGAGACGATGTATAAAAATCTCAATTATTTAGTTATTTAATTGAATATATTCATAATTTAATAGATCATGGATCATCAATGATCTTTTGGTCTGTATTAACAAGTAAATTTTCTCCCTCAATTTAGGATGATTTGATTCATATTCAATTTATTTTATTTATTGCTGCTCTCTTCAAGATTTTTTCCAAGGGTATCTGAAGCTTGTTCAATCTGCACTGTGTACCCAAAAATATATATAGGGAAGATTTGGACATGATTAAGACATCAGAATCCATCAGCCCCTGAAAGTCTATTCCAACGTATCGAGCTAAGCCCACTAATCAAAGTGATCGAGTTGAGCCGACCTAAGTTTATGCAAATCAGCCCTAAGAGAAAATCATCATTACATAAATGTACATACGATCATCCTAATTTATAACATTGTCGCCCACCCACATCACAATCTTTCCATTAGGACATTGTTAACATATGTAGTGTCGTAGAGGATTAAAAAAAAAAATTCTCATGTATAAAAGTGACGTCAAAATGAGATATCTCTCGTTCTCCATCTTTGTCTCTCTCTCTCAAAAAACTAGACTCATACATCTCTCTCTTGTGTATGGGAAACAAAGACCCGAGATCATGAGAAAACAGAAAGTGAGAAACAAGAGCTTTGGCCGTTCATTCATAATCTTCTCATATATCTTCCTGGTAAAAATAGGGTATTTACCTGAGCACACATTCTAAGATGATTCAATATCCATAAAAGGAAATAAATTTCATAATCCATTACTATTTAAAAAGGAAAATTCGTTAGAAGGGTAAAAGATTATTTAAAACACTCCCAATTATCAAAGTTGGTTTGCGTCCGTGACCATCTAAATTCTAAAAAAATATGAATTCTTTCGGTCAAAACATTAATAAATATTCCTGTAATTTCCCTTCAACTCTTATGTAATTAATGAGCTGATGAATATAAAACATTAGTAAATCACAAGCACTATAACCCAAGAAACGCTATGTCTTATTTTCATTAAAATCTGGATTTTTTTAATGTTAAGTTGATAGGTTAGGTTGAGCATGGTGGGTGGGGAGGGGTAGCTCCCTAATCCCTAATACAATGTATTATTGGATTGTTATGCAAACTTTTAAATAATTAATATTTAAACTTTAGGCCATGATTTATAATAAAAAGAATCTTCATTGTTCTATGTCAATTTTTCAACTGCTGCGATTCTCACTGACAAACTGTGTTTTAGAGGCTATTCGGTTGCCTCAAAAGATAATGTATTCTATGTGGAATCTGAGAGTTGTTCATTTTAAAATTGCAGTAAATTTCAGAGGTATTAGATAGTTAATTTTAAATTTGATTGAAATTCGTTAATTTGAACGATTTTTAAACACCACACTTTCTACTGCCATAACACCAGCCGATACCCCAAGCCAATGTCTGTCATCGTTGCCACCGATCACCATCACCCCAGCTACCATCACTTGTCGAGCATTGTCGTTGACCGATCGCCCCTTCCCACTGCTGGCTTGCTCCAATCTTCTTGGTTGCCCTGGCCACTACTGACCACCAAAGTTCTACAGTTATTTTACATTGAACCAAAACAACTCCAAAGTACTATATATATATATTGGGCCATTTACATACATACCACCAAATTTCTATATATTTAATATATTGGGGCATTTACATACATACCACCAAATTTCTATATATTTACATATCTAATACATAAATTTATTTTCATATCCATATCACACAAATCTTTTATATCACATCAAAAATACTATCATTTTAACTAAAAAAAAAAACAGACCCATATTTTCATGCATAAGTGAAGTGTTATGTATAAAAATTAAAATTTTGGTGTTAGATATGTAAATGCATAAAAATTGAGTGGTACATATGTAAATCTTTCAAACAAATTTTGTGGATGACATAATCTCATAAAATCCCAGACTAAAATTTTCTATGATATCCTTTCATATATATATATATATATATATTTCTATTAAGAGATATTTTGAAAAATTAAATTTGAATAATAGGTTAAGATACTTAACGATGTCATAGGCATGATGAAATTATTTATTAGCATAAATATAAGAAGATTCCCTTTAATATCTAGATTATAAAAGCGTCATGCATGTACAAGAATTTATAAAAAAATTAAATATTTTATTTGAGAGCATAGCATCTCCCCTAGCAATATTCCTTTCATAGGTAAATGTTCCGCCCCCATTTGTAAGGTCATGCCATATTTTAACATTATAACATTTTTTTTTTCCAAAATAACCTCATATCCAAAATGTCCTCTGAATAGTATATTCATTTTCGGCTTGATTCCATTTGAAGTTAACTTGAATAATTTTAAATATGGGGAAATTTAACATTATTTTAAATACAACATATAAAAATTAATTTAAAACCATAATAAAAGAGGGGCATCATATATATCACATGATTTTTTATGTATCTAAATATCTAACATCTAAGCTTTTATATTTATATTCATGGCTCTCAAATCTATAAGAACACATAAAAAAATATCACTTTTTCTTATTTTTTTAAAGTGAAATATAATTTTTAATTATGTATAAATTTATGATGCCAAAACATTATAGATGTAAACTTAGTTTTTGACATTGTTGAGGAAAGACACCATCAGATAAAATTAAGCTAGATATCACCCGACCGTTAATCGTGATCCACTCTGACCTAGCGAACTCATCAGTTCATCTAATAAGCAAAATTATCCATTTGCTTTCCTAGTTGAAAGAGGGCGACAAAATATAATAAACTCTAGCAATTAAAAGCAATTAAATATTGCTTCAAATTCTATAAATAAATTTTGTAGCCATTATTAACTTGTGTCTTCCTAATTGAAAGAGGGCGACAAAATATAATAAACTCTAACATTTAAAAGCAATTAAATATTGCTTCAAAATCTATAAATAAATTTTGTAGCCATTATTAACTTGTGAAATAAAGACATCATCCTCCATTCTAATTTTATGGTAAAGCCTAGAGCTTCCCCCTCCCCCTACCCTCTTAAATTAGGGATAAGTACAAATATAGCTCCCCAAATATTGCTATTTATAAAATCTAGCACTCATTTGATATTTTTGAACTATCGAATCCCCAAATATTGCTATTTATAAAATCTAGCACTCATTTGATATTTTTTAACTATCGAATCGATGTATTTAAGCATGACATGATTGATAATTTGATAGAAAAATGAAAAAAATGAGTTTGGGTTTTATCATGAATTTAGATATTTGAGTGAGAATTTGAAAAATGGATGAATATAGGTGCTATATTTGTAAATAATAATATTTCAGATGTCGTTTATGTAAACAGCCGATAAAATTAAAATCAAATTGTTCATGAGTGCCCAATTACTGGACCCGCACAGCCCACCTGTACCGCACACCAAATCCAATTTGATCCAAAAAAATAACAAATGCGTTTGACTTCATGATGGCGCACAGGTCAACCACTAAATTAAAAGTCAGCGCTGCCGTGAACTCACCCGCTACCTTTTAAGCTTACGAACCAGAAAGCGCCGCCCCACGGGCGTTGACCTAATGAAAGAAATATCAGCAATTACTGGCGGTCAGCAGGGCCGATTTGCGTCATCAATGATAAAATAGTAGCTGACTTTGTAAAAAGCCGGCATTGGAAAGTTGGTGAATTTCTGCGTTTGAATTCTCGTTTCTTTGGGAATTCAGTGGAGAGCTGCAGGTGGAGAAGATAAGTATGTCCACGTGTACAGCAACGGCTTTGAAATTAGGGTTTATGCGTGGGTGATTATTGAAAATTTCAGAGTTGACTTGGAGGAATGAGGATAGGAAATGCTTGTGAAGTTCTTGGTGAATTAGTTCAGCTTGTGAAGTTCTTGGTGTGTGGTTTGGGTCAATGATGACATGTCACCATTGACTCACCAACAGTATCCATCCATGGAAGAATGATCTAAATTGGTCAAATATTCAATTCATTTAATTGATTTTTTTTTAATTTGTTATTATAATTTTTTTTAGATCAAAGTAAATTTTTTTGTGCATATCGCAGGTCGGCTTGGAATCGGACCGTTAACATTCTTATATATTTATTCATCCAATCTGAACTAATTAAGTATTAAAATTCATAATAAAATTATTAATATTTTATTAAAATTTTAAAAAGTGGATCTCAATAAGATTAACTAAAAATTTATGATTGGATTGTCAATTTCAAACATTATTATAATATGACATGTATTATTTTTTTAATAAAAGCGGTGGGTTTTAGGATAAATAAATAAATAAAAGTAAAGGCCGCCGGATAAAATTATGCCGCAAGTTTAATACTCGTAGAACCCAAAAGTCTTATTTTATATTATATTTATTTTAAATTATTGCTTGTAGTGGGAATTTAAGGGAAATTGGCTGAGGATGAAAAAGGGGGAAAATGCAGTATCACGACAAATGGAAGATTTAAAAAATCAGGTTGGAATGACCAATTTGATCCGTGCAAGTGCAAAAATTATCCTCCAGATGATTATGTCCAAGTTTTAAACCTTTTTTTTTTTTTTTTTTTTCTTTTTTTTTTTTTTTTTTTTTTGGTGGTTGGGCTAAATTTATTTTATTTTTAATGAACTATTGAATTCTAATATTAACCTTTTGTTTTTTTTTTTTTGGCCCTAATATTAACCTTTTGTTTTTTTTTTTTTTGGCCCTTGCACTTTGATCTTGTGGCTAGAAATAATATATTTAAATTTAAAATAAAAAATAATTAAAATATTGATGCGTACCAGAAGGTTCGTGGCGGTAGAGCGATTGTTTGGTGCCTTGACATTGAAAGAAAATTCATCACACACTGGAGGTGACACTTCAATTTTTACTAGAGGTGACACCTCAATTCTTACATTGAAAACTCTAGAAATGAATAAAAAAAATGAGGTTTAGCCTAACCTAGGTGCAATAATTCACTATGATTTGTGGGTATACATGATCACTCTTC